TTCTTATCTTGGATTTCTGTTCTCAAGTAGAAGCAAAATTTAGCAAATGGAGCTGTTCTTAAGTTGGATTGTTCTTAAGTAGAGATGTTCTTAAGTAGAGACCCCACTGTATATAAATGGTAGCTTTTAACTCCCATTTCCTTTCTAATGTGAACAATGCAACCAAGATGGAATTGGATATATTGCAAATGATCATCTAGAAAATCTGTTCATGTTTATCCTTAAATGCACAAGATTTTAACATAAGATAGCAGCTCGTTCCTGTAGAATGCAAATGGAAGGATCAGAGAATTAGGGAAAAGAGAAAGGAATGGGCTCCTCTGGAAAACCACAGAGAAGGGGTCAGGTAGATCAGTGGTTCCTAACTTTGTGCCACCAGCTATTTTGGGACATTGACTCCTGGAAGCCCCGACTAGTATGGCCTTGATGAGGATTTCTGGGAGTTGTGTATGTTGGGAACCATGAGCACAGAGCAGTCCGAAGACAGCTGAGTGAGGAAGTGCTGAAAGCCTTCTCTTTGAAATAAGCGAATAAACTTAGCTCCCTGACCTGATCAAAGAAATCCTTCAAAACTCACTGTGCAGATGCAAATCTGCATGTGGAACTGCAGAGACCACAAAGAACAATTGATTAAACAAATCTAGAATTCCAATCAAGTTACCCATGAACATCTTTCTCTTTCAAATGCCACTGAAGTCTTGCCAGCAATCTTTCAAATGCCACTGAAGTCTTATTTCTTTTAGTCTATGGCTGAAATCCTGTTCGTTTTAAGTTCCTAGGAGGCAATTTTTTTAAAAAATAAACATTTCATTGCCAGGAGACTGTGGGGGCCTCAAGATGGGAGGAAAGATGTATACTTTCAAAAACAATTGCCCTGGCTGATGACGTCACCAAACAGGATTTCAGCCAATGTATTCTTGTCCCTGGTACATATTTATTTAATAAACATTTAGGATTGCTACAAAAAAGTGCAATGAAATACTCAAGGCAATTCTGTCTAGCACCAGCGCTTGGAAAGTTATGCACTATCTCATTAGGGAACTCTCAACAGCAAAGAATACAATTCAATTTACATTGTTATGTAATGGTTAAACATGTGCACAATTTAAGATGCATCTCACTGAGAATATTTAATAATAGATGCATTTCAGACAACAACAGTTACTTGTATTGAAATTCACACAAACATGTTTCATAATTTTTATTGATGGCATTTATCCCATGGTTTAACATGTTAATTATACTGTAATAAACATGGCTTTAATATTAAACTTTTCCTTATTATCCAAAGTCACCAGAGTCCATTTCCGTAAATATAAAAATATATACTTAACACTTTGTACAATACTGGTTTTTGGTCCAAACAAAAATGGATCAGAAAAGCCAATAAACTCATTTTAAGAATTCCCAATTTTAAAGATTTTTAATGGATTTAGGCAACTTTGAATAATGAGATTTACATAATAAAATCTGAGACAATACTAAACAAAAATTTGCTGTAACACACAAAATTAAAATTTCAAGTTCACAGATTTGTTATGCCAAAGTACATAGAGAAACAGAATTGTATTTACACATTTGTTTCATAATAAAATAATGAAAAGGCGAGACAGGTGATAAGGAGCTGTTAAGAATGAAAATAGAAAGAGCATCTAATTATTGAATGAAGTACTACTGATCAATCTAGTCCCTAGCATGGACCATTTTTGATCATTCTTTCTCTATCAGAAAATTTTAGTGCACAATACACGCAACTCGCTCACTTCACACGTACATCGGCACAAACTCTGCAAAGAAATCATTCATTATCCACATTCTCTACTCTATACAGACTCCCTCTTTCTGATATAATTACAATTTCGAGGTGTCAGTAAACGTAGATGAGCGCACAAAGTGGTGCAAACAGAGGTACTATACGAAGCCATTCGCTGTGCAGGCTATATTTATATCTATAGCCAGACCATGCCAAGTCAGTGAAGAAAAACTGATGGATTCTAAAGTAGTTTTTGCTCAAGATCCTTCCTGCCACCAACTCTAATATTAAAAAATAAAAAATTAAAACTCTAAATGGAGAGAAAAAAAGCAAGTAGAGTTTAGGCAGACCTGGCTTCAGCTAAACCCAGCATGAGGTACAATTCAGTAACTGAATGATACAGGGCAACCAGCTGTGGTAAGGGAGCTGCTGTTTGTAACAATCATTAATATTTTATTTTCTACGTCTAACAGCCGTCTTTATCTTCCGACCAGGCACTGAAGATCCAGGTGCGGAGAATATATTTTTTCCGTTACTCCTGCTTTTGTGGGGAAAAAGAAATCAGAAGTAAAAAACCTAGAATGGCATGTCAAAATTCTTATTACTGTGGAATAAACACACACACACAAATCCCAAACCACCCACTAGTTAAAAAAATCACTGGACTATCAAATTGCCAGAGATCTTTGACTAGAGACAGATTTCTAAAGAATATGTCTTTTATTGAGGTGACTCATCTGAATTTTTGCTTCAGTGACACCAGTATGCCTATTATCGCTCTTAAATGCTTAACACCATCACCTTGATGTACTCAATATCCTGATGATAAAATCCAACATTAACACCTTTCTAATTGCAATAGCTATAATGTTACTTAAATTTTCAGGCACTTGCACAACTTGTGAGTGCAATGACAAATAAATTTAGGCACTTGCACAACTATTTAATATACTCTCTATTCCCAAGGCACTGCTATTCAGTAGCATAGTATGCTATAGTACTATAATCATGTTACTGACACATGGAATGGAAAACTACTGCATTTTAGTAGTTGGCTACTATTTGAACAGCCATGGCTTCATGTTACAAAATCCTGCAATTTGTAGGTTGGTGAAGTAGTTAGAATTCTCTGTTAAAGAGCTCTTTTGCTTCAGTTCAAGACAATGCATTAGGGTTCTCTAGAAGAAAGTTCTAAATTGCTCACCGTCCTAACTATAAATAGTGAGATTCTGTAGGATTCAGTGTCATAGCATTAAACAAGTGGTTTCAAACTGCTATTAACTCTGAGGTCTAGGAACACTCTTATTTCTTTCCAGTGTGTTTACAGAAGCTCTGGACTATATGTTTATCAAAAACATGGACTTTCACATAGTCAATATACAAAGCTATTAAATGGCTTAATCCCCTTCTTACCCCAAGTTAAATGATGGTGAAGGCTGGGTGTATGAAAATCCTAAAGAGCCTCCTGGCTGTGCTGATGATGCACCAGGAGTAGCACCAAAGGTAAATACTCCTGGGCTGTTGCCTGTGAAGTTGAAATTAGCAGTACTACTTCCAAACTGGAACACTGGACCTATAAGAGTAAACAGTGAGACTTAACGTGGTAGATGAACAACAATTTATCATTCTTACTGCCTGAGGAACTACAGAATGGGCCGTTACACAGAAGAATGCAAATTGAGAAGTTGGTTCGGTACAGTGGTGCCTTGACTTACGACCATAATCTGTTCTAGAAGATGGTTGTTAAGTCGAAATGGTTGTAAATCGAATCAGCATTTCCCATTGAAATACACTGAAGCCTGATTAATCCATCCCAGCTGTTTTTTGGTTGTATGTAGAGGCGCCGGTTGCAAGTCGAAGCATTTGTTCCCACAGGAACGAATGCAAAAGCAGTTAATCCGTCCTCTACCACTGACGGGAGAATTTTTTTTTTTAACCTAAGATGACTTAGGTTAAAAAAAGGGCAGGAAAGGAGGAAGGGAGTGAACAATGGGGAAAAGAGGAAATAAAGAAGGTCATCACTGGGGCACACAGACCCCTCAGACAAAGGTTTGTGCTTTTAAGCACAAAAAGAGAGAGGACAGAGAGAACACAATGGGGGGGGGGAAACAGTATGGAGTCTAAAACACTTTTTAAACCAAACACCTTTTAAACAAAAGACATTTTAAACCAAACCAAGCACCTTTTAAAACCAAAGACATTTTAAAAGAAAAAGACTTTGGAGTCAAAACTCTATTTTATAGCATGCCAGCCAACACAGCAGCCCCTCACAGAAAATGTTCTGATTTTAAAACAAAAATACTTTGGAATCTAAACCCCATTTTACTGCATGCCAGCCACCACAGACCCTTGCAGAAAATGTTCTGATTTTAAAACAAAAAGACTTTGGAGTCACATTTTAAACCTACACATTTTAAAACAAAAGAGAGCTCACAGTACACAAACCCTAGGAGCCACAGAATGCAAAAATAAATAAATAAAATTTACATTTTAAAATTAGTCTAATTTTCACATTTAATTTTAATTTAATATTACAGTCTACTTTTCA